TACAGCTTCGTGATACCTTTGAACAGAAACCAGATTTGTCTTTCTCTAGCAGAAAGTAAAGTAACAATAAGTAGATAATGTCGTTGTGAGATGAATTGGAATCAGAGATGTCCATGGCAACGCTGCCGTCGTGATCATGAGGTCGCGTCGGCTGCAGCTTTTTTAGGAAGAAATTTCAAAAATACATGAATATGCACAGAATCTTGATGTTTATATATGTGATACTGTAAGACTTAGTAAATCTGGCCGAGTAGCAGCAGATACGACCTTGAAAATTGAAACATTTTTTTTGGAATACCATCGCGGCAACGGCAAATTCTCAGTCGCAATGAAGATCTACAATTGAAATTGAGAGGGACGGTCTGATAACAGGTTGTCTGTTGTGAAAGTAGTCGAATCACGATAGGTCATTACTTTTAGCTCTCCGAGAATAAAAGCACTTTCAGTCCTTCTCACCTCTAGAAAATATATATAACCTTACGCGTGCATTATGTTAACAGTTTTTTTTCTAAATTTTTTTTCTTATATAGCTGAAAAACTAGAACGTGAAAGTGCATCATCTCATGTTGCACCTGTAAACACAATTTATTCATCACCATCACTTGCAACAACGATTGCACCATCAAATCCTGTTATTCCTCATTATTATCCAGTTCCTCAACATCATAATGTAATTTATCCTCATCATATTCCACCAACAACATCAAATGGTCTTTATCCAATACAACCGTAAGTTAATCAAATGAACAAAGAAAAAACAATAGAGAAATTTTTTTTGTTATTTAGAAATTATTATCCACCTCCACTTGGAGTTCGTTATCCTGCTGGTGGTATTCATCATTTTCCACAATATGCACCTGCTCCACCAATTCATCATCATCCTCCACCTCCTCCGCCTCAAATTGTTGCTCCTCCACATATTCCAACAAATGGATATAATATGCCTGGTTTTCATCCTCATCCAACAGCACCATATACATCAACATCAACATTCATTGCTCATCATCAAACAGCTACTCAACCAATATCAACAGCTCTTTCGGAAAATGAATTTTATATAAAACAACGTTATTTTCAACGAATGTAAAATTTTATTTTTATTATTTTGATATTAAATAATTTATTAATTTTTAGTCAACGATCACCTAGTCGTCGTCGTTCACGTTCTTCATCTTATTCATCGTATTCAAGCAGGTAAGGAAACTTTTTTTTTGGTTTTTGGTTAAAATAAAAAAGAATTTTTTTTTTTTAAAATTTTAGTGATTCTCGTAGTTCATCACGTTCACGTTATAATCGTCGTCGACGTTCATCTCGTAGTCGAAGTCGTCATCGAGTAAAATCTCCAGTTCGTGATAATCGTCGTCAACGACGATCATCATCCTATCGAAATCGACGACGACCTATTGAAACTAAAGAAAAACAACATTCATCAAAATATCGAAGGTAAGATTTACTCTCAAAAAGAAATTCTTTTTTTTTTTTATCTTATTCTTGTTCTTAAATAGATCACCACCTCGACCAGCTCGAGATCATGAACGACGTCGTTCACCTCGTCCACCACCTACTATTCAGCAATCGACTCAACGTACAATTGTTTATTTACAGGAATCTTCACATTCCAGGTAAGAAAAAAACAAATTATTGATTTCTTATGAATAAATTTATTTTATTTAGTCGAGATCGTCGTCGAACAAAAAGTCGTTCACGTGAAAATGATGATCGTATTAATTCATTGTCGAAAAAAGAACAACAAACACAATCAGAATCAAAAACTTCTTCTATATCATCACCAACAAGAGCAACACAAACAACACTTTCATCAAAAATTGAAACAGTAGTAGAAGAAACACTTGAAAAAGTTCAAGATGATAATTCTAAAAATGGAAAAAAACATAAAAAACATAAAAAACATCGTCATTCAAGTTCGAAAGGTAAAAAACATCATCGAAGTAAAGATAAAGAAAAAAAGACAATTGTGGATACAACAACATCTGTTATTGAAATTCATTCATAATATTTAGCTTTTTTTTTGCTTTCTCATGTCATATATGTTGTATCTGAAAGAATTTTTTCTTTTGTTCTATTTGTTAATTTTTGTTCTTTTTTTTCGTTTTCGACAGAAAAATAAAATATACTGATGAAACATTATTTAAAATTGCACATTTTTTTGTTCATTTATTCATTAAGGAAATAGTACAAAGATAAGTCCAGATCAAAATTATGGAAATGTTGAAAGATGTGGAATAGATAGACATTAAAAAAAAAACTTTTTTATTGATTGTTTAAACAAAAAAATTGGATTTCTATATGTATAAAAATAAATACCTTTAATTTGAATAACAGAATAAAGGGTGATCTCTTCCTGACTAGAGTACTTAGGATGATGCTTTAAATGGCATATTATCTAATGACATTATATTTTTTAATACCAGTGATATAAACAGAAGAAACGTAATAGTTAGGGTGTGAGTACAAGGAGAAAACAGAATACTCCTGCCTTTCGGAATGAAGTGTTGCGTATTTTTTCCTTTTACATCGCTTCAGATCTCAATGTCTACGAAGTCGAAAGCGGCTCGATGTTGACCTGTGATATACGTCAGCATCGTGTACGTGTTTTCTTCGGTACGGATGACAAAGTTTCAAAACTTCTACGTATTGGTTAAGCGTCTATAATATTCAGAAGAAACAGCAAAATAGCGTACTTTTCGCCATCTTTTGAGGTTACTAATGAATAGTGATAACAAGAATGTTGCATCAATCATTTAGTGTCCATTCTGAAGGATGATTTTCAAAAATAAAGTAACAATTAAAATTCATTATGTGAACAAATTCACTAAATCCTGTAAATAATCAAGATGATGAAGATAAGGAGTTAATAGACCATTTCCCGTCTGACTTGCCTTGCAAGCCAAGCTCAGTGTAAAAGAGTGCCCTGCAGACCAAATCAGGCTGAGGGTGTTGATATAGGTGACTATACATGAAGACATGATGCACACTCACATTCACAAAATGATGAGCTTTTGAAACATTCATATGTTTTCGGTTATATTAGAGAAAATAATATTACATTATATCGAGGCCAACAACGTTCTCTGGGCTCGACTTGATGACTTGCCAGGCAGCAGTCCACGCTGACAGCTCTGACTTACACCAACACTCATGTTGAAAACTAGAAGTTTATTATTATGACGAAAGAATTGTTCAAAATAGCAGAAGGGCTGTATTCATTCCTCTCAGACATATTTGAGAAAGGTCTCTTTTTATTGACCAGAGAAATATGGATTATTTTTCGCTAATGTTCTATCTAAATGCCACAAAAATTTGCTTCCATTGTCAGCTGTAGAAGTATTATTTTGGTTCTACATAAGAGACAATCGTATAGAAGAGCATTGTTAGGGAAGTGTATGATATTGAGTTCGAACACTTTTGTACCTCAATTTATGAACTCTACGTCTCTTATAGAGCAGGAGAAGAATCCATACCATGAATATCCGTTTGAATGCTGTAGGAAGCTGTGGGTCCTTCGAGACCCGTACCCGACTCGGACCCGGTCGGGTCTAGGCCTATAGTTTTACTTTTTTTCGAGTACGGGTCGGGTCCAACCTTTTATTTTTTTGTCAGATCCGATTACACGTTTTTGTGAATCTGCTGCTCCCCAGATAAGAAATATAGCAACAAGATGTGGCTGTACGTTTAGTTCTTTTCAGAGAGTAGTGAATAAATCGCTAAAGCCTTGATCCTCCACTTGTTCATATACATGAAGGATGACACGTATTGATGGAAAAAAACTCGGATTTGGACCCGACTGGGTTCGGGTCGGACCCGGGTCCATAGAAAACGCGGATCCGCAGCTTCCTAATGCTGACTATGTGAAGGTAGGTGCGTGCGTAAAAAGAAAGCCTTCATCCACCCTCCTGATGATCAGCCTTTCGCACAACATCTCTAATTTGCGTCCTTCAATATTCAAGAAAGCTGATTACTTAAATGGATTTGAGTGGAAATTTTCTCTGTTGAACAGACAAACTCATGAAGGCATTTACATTTATGATGAAAAATGAGTGCATATGACATTGATACCGACGATTTTGACATGCTAATATCGCTTACATTCGCTTATTAATCACTATTCGCAATAACACATGTAACGCAATTTTATGTCATCTTGTTTTTGACATCAGTTTAATCAAAAGTTGATTTGCTATGAAATGCAGCATGATTGAAATTCATTGAGCAATCATGGAAGCATTCTAGGATTCACTTAAGTTCGAGTTTGAGTATTTCTAAACATCATTGATCTTTTTTACAGCTATATATTAATTCTTGAAAAGTTAAATTCAAAACTAACTGTTCCCAAGTCCAACAAAAGACGGATGAGTGAAATAAAATTAGTTATTGTAGATGTTTAAAACAAAAGAAAACAATTAAACACAATCATATTTTACTGGTTGTTTGTAGTGAAAAAAATTACTACGTACATCAACGATACACTTCCTATCAGAGCATGTCATCAATAGGATTATTCTATTTTTAATAATGTTCACATTTTGCAAAGAACGCATTTTATAATATCAATTTAGAAACACAATGATTTCATGCACAAATTTCTGTACTCAGTGACCTTTAGAATAGAATAGAATAGAATAGAATAGAATAGATTATAAAGAAACAAGCGTGCAGTTGCGCACATGGTATGTAAAGAAAGAAAAAGAAGAAATATACGATAGAATCACAAGTGTTACTAATACAACTCTATGTTACGATGATTTTCATTCTATTGACTACTACTCTTTCTACAACACGCTCACAACAATTGCCAAATATAACTAAGGTATTTGAATACAAATGAAAGAAAAAAAAACGATACACTATCATCATCTATATATAGGACAACATTCGATTTGATTCACTCATATTTGTTAAAGTAACGAGCTGACCCTTTTTCTTGTCTTGATAAAACAAAAAAAAACAAAATCAACAATTAACCTTATAACTCGAATATCATGTCAACGTCACGCAAATCAATTATTGAAAAATTTATTATTGCTGTCAATGACCCGAAAGTTCCTGATCTCGGCCAAGTTCTCGAAGACGATGTACAGAAAATATTAAACTCAAAAGTTGTTTACAATAATATTCAAGAAGCTCGAGAATATTATATTAAAGAACTAGATGGTGAATCAACATCTCAATGGGCAATTGTTGAATGTATACCAGATGATCCGAAAAAAAATACATTACGTGCTCGAATTTCACATAACAATAAGACAGCTGATACCGTATATACATTTAGTCCTGCTGATAAAATTCAACGAATAGATGTCGTTAACTAAAAAACCATCACTTAAATGATCATTATAAAGGTATTTAAATCGATTTATTTCAACTGCTTTTTTTAAAATTCCATTTTTTCTCTTTTTTTTTAAATAAAAAAAAATCTACTATCATTGTATATGTGTCTTGTTTATTTGATGAAAATAATGGTTAATATCACTTTTGATCAAATGAAAACCATTCATTGCTGAAAATTATATATATGTGCATACTCAGTCAAAATAAGATCAGACCATGTTGATTCTTTGAGCTCATACCTAATTAAAATTAATTAACTAATTAATAAAAATGTAATTAGCAAATAACTATCTATCCTTATGATAGAAAAATCCAAGAATTTCAAAATAGATTCCACATCATGAATTACATCTATGGTGGAACCTTCAGTAAGATCGGATTTCGAAAAATTGTCTTTTTATAACAGATTTTCTAGAGATTATCTTATATGTTGGAACAACACATTTTATTTTGTTAGCATCTCTGAATTCTCAAGAAGGTTTTATATCGTTTCGAAAGTTTTCATTAGTTATGTTGGAGCTTACAGTATTTTTAAATAGAAACGCATGCAGTAAAAATCTTTGTCCTTTTCTTTGTGTCACGTCGCTGACACTTAGTTTTTTTTAATCATAATTTGTTCAAATATAATCCTCAAGGACTGAGTTTTTTCTGGTATCTATAGAAATTCAACCTATATTGAATGCATAAAAATTACCTATAAAGAAATTTAGCGTAAGGTCCTTCTGTCAATCTTCGGCAAAATTAACAAATAAAAAATTGAAATCTCCACTAGCATCAATTACAGATGATCTCTCATAATGATTTCCAATTAATCAAGATTATTCGAATTTGAATTATATCATTAGAGCAAAATGTTTTTGTTTTGATTCTCGTTCATTTATTGAGTTTATGAAAATTTATTCTTACATCAGACATATCACGATTCTTTATTTTACCTGAAGGAATACATAGTATGAACTTTATTCGCTTATACCTTTTTAGTTGGCTACATCGTATACAGTTTCGGCAAAAAAAGTCAAAATACTCTCAAGATTTTCGGCAGTACTTTCACCAGAGCAACAGCAACGGTTGTTTTTTTGTTGTTCTAGTTTTTGTTCTAGCTTTTGTGTTATTTTGGCATTGACTTCATCAATGGTATGACTGAGTTCATCCGATGTCATTTCAGTGGGAGGCATGAGATCGAGCTGGCGTGTATCAGCTCTTATTGTTATACGAACTAATTTCGTGTCGTTTGCTTGTGTTATGATAGTCAACGGACCATAGTGTGATGAGAAATCGACGTAATAAATATCATCAATCATTAAACAATGATCATATAACAATACATAACCACCACTACGATTTATAGCTTGTGTGTACTGTTTTCGGCATTTACATCCTATACAGGAATAACGCTGAGAAAGAGGCACAAAATATTGAAGTTGAGTCGAAGGATGATGATGAATGTATTCTATATATTGTTTTCAAGTGATTGCATCTAATTTCCAAACGATAACTGGATCTTTTAAAAGCTCTATTTGACGGAAAATCTTTTTTCGTTGAAACCAAAATCGAATTGGAGAAATAAGTACACCGGCAACGATGAGTCAAACAGCCGCAGTTAATAAAATTCCAGCGTTTTCCCAATCGGAATAGTGCAGTACCAAGATACCTGAAATGCCGAGCATGATAAAGCAAATACTCAGAATAATAATTATAGTACTATGAAAATACAACAATCTCTTAAACTTTTTTATTCGAGACTCAATAATCTCTGGTAATATATTGTCATCTTGTTTTTCGTCTTGGAATAGATCAATAGCGTTGCTGATAGTATTGCTAGTGGAACATCGATACTCATAGACGAATTCGATGATTTCCTAGTATCATTTTCAGTTGATGCATTATAAACGTCTTGTGTTGTTAACATTTTATTGTCAAGATGGACTTTCGACATGTTTTACGATTCTAAAAACGTTACAATAGCTTATACTTCTTACGTGCTTTTTTTTATCGTTCTCATCAAAAAGAAGATGAGGACGATATATATGACTTAAGATCATAAGAGACTAAAAATATCAATACCGACTTCAGTTTGCATGATAAGAAAACAGAATAATCTCGGAAGAACACGTATATTGACTTAAATTTTTATTCTAACCTTTATTTTTCTACTGAAAAAATTTTTCTCATTGATAATTTATTATAAAACATACTCAGAGGGAATCTTTTCAGCTATATCCTCTTATAATTTCAATTATTTTTTGTCTATAGATACGGCATAATATCTTAGCAAAACTCTAAAATGAATCGAGTTTCTAGCACTTCTTTCAAAAGTTATGAGCACCTTAAATTTGTCTCTATACAATGCATAACATACGCTGTCGGTCGTAAATACTACTATAATAAAAAAACTAGCTATCGTCGTATCGATTCAATCAAATGGGCGAATTTGTTGGCTACTCATAGAATTTTATTTCGAATGTGTAATTTTTATGGCGACAAGCTAAACAACTAATACCCCTTAAGTATTATTACTATCGGTATCATAAAAGCAATTTCACCCGTTATCAAGTAATAAAAATATATATTTAGCATTTCATATTTGATTTTCAGCTATAATAAAAGAGAATAATAAGAGCAAATCGGGGTGTGGGTATGGGTGTGGATGTGGGTGCGGATGAAGTAAATAACTATCCACCCACACCCTAATTAGTGCATCTGATAAAACTCATCGAGTTCTATCTTCGTCTATTGTTGGTCTAACTAAAATCAGCTCCTGAGCGAATCGCGAAGAGTTTTCATAAACTTAATAACGAACAAAGGACTAATTAGCGTTTTTCCTATTGATGGTACATTCGAATTTGATGAGTAATATGTGGAATTAATAGAGCTCGTCGAGTTCTATCTTGATCTAACGTTGGTCTAACTGGAGCCAGCTCCTGAGCGAATTGGAATAGGTTTTTCTTTAGTTTTAACGTTTTTTTTGCAGTATTTAGGATTATTTTCTCAAAAGGGGAGACTATTTCGGAAAAGTGAGTAGTGCATCTGATAGAGCTCGTCAAGCCCTATCTTGGTCTAACTGGAGCCAGCTTCTGGGCGAGTCGAGACAGGAAATACTAGAATCGGAAGCCAAGATATCCTACGTGTATTTGTGAATGATTTCCAATATTTTTCTTATTCGATGAATTCGACTCAAAACATATAAAAACACATGAATGAATAAGAATTTATTCAAATGCGATAAATTAGATTTTTTTCTTTTGCTGTTTCTATGATGCTTATGAATTTTCAAAATTTTTCATTTATATTCAAAGTCGAACTAGGCAGCTAGTTCAGACTATAGCAATGAGTAATAAATACTTGTGTGTAGTTATATAGCGAAGAAAAATATTGGCATCAACAATTTACAAAACCATTCATGTATCAAATCGAATATCTTCAATGTTTTTGTTTTGCAAAAATAATGAAAACAAACGTTTTGAAAAATAGTATATCTCAATATAAAACAGAATTAATCGTTTTCTATCGATATGAAAAAAGAGATGACTATATTTATCTCTTTCTCTTTTGTAATATTATAACATCAACAAAAAAATATACAATTTTATCAAACTATTTTTTTTTTTATTGAAACAATTTATAACAAAGGAAAATATTGATGAAAATTTGCTGAAGGAAGAAATGATTGATCGAGATCAAGATCTTTTACTCTACTAAAGTTAAAATATGTTGTATCAATGGTAAAATTGTTTGTTATCATTATAAGTGATTCATATTTGATGTAAAGATTAAATAAATGAGGTAGATAAATTACTTTCTGCAAGAGAAATTGTTCAGCATAATTTACATGTGCCAATTTTAGATTAAGAAGTTTAAGATGATGAAAAGTAATTAATTCAGTAGATGAATATAGTTTGTCTTTTTGTGGTTTATCATTTCGTATATGTAAGATTTCAAGAAAAGGTAAACTATGAGAGATAAATTGAAAGAATTTATGTTCAAAAGGATATTGATCAATAACTACCAAATATCGAACTGTATGAAATATGCCTCCTGGAAAAGAATTATTGATTTCAAGTAAATATTCGAATTGATATGGAAGTGAATAAATATGACATTTTGATTCCATCCTACTTAAATTATGGATATATGAAGCATTTTGTTGATATATTTCTCTTTCAATAAAACTACGTTGAATATCTTCATTTGATGAAAGATTAATTTTAGTATTACATCTAAAGACACGTGTTTGAATATTAAATGTAAAGTTATTTAATTTTTTCATATGACAAAGAAGTTCATCATATAATTGAATACCATCAATATAATTTAAATCAATTACTTCTACTAATAAATATAATTTTAATTCTTCAAGATTTATCATTCGACGAATAAATGGAAAAATTAGAGTATCATGTTCACGTGTATATTCAGGTGAAATGAATGATAAATATTTTAATTTGGGAAGTTCTTTCTAGAAATAATATTGACATTGAAAATATCTATCGGATTAATTTATAGAAAGGATGATCAAAATCGACTACATACTGCTTTATCTATGTGTCGTATCGGATGATAAATTGTTTCCACATGAAAAATTAATGTTGTTAAACATTCGAAATTTCCATTAAGAAGAAACAAACATTCAGTAAAACTTACAAGATTAATTTTTAATTTAGTTAAAGTTGAAGACATTAAACTTGTTTCTGTTAAACGAGAAATACGATTCCAATGTTTTCGTTCAAAAAATAAATCACAAAAATTTAAATCAATTAAGTTTTTACATAAAGATAAAATTAAAACAAAAATCTTTGATGTAATTTTAAACGATTCTCTATTTGCATTCTTTATATCAATATTAAGATGTGTTATTTGTTTACTAAGCAAATCACGAAGAATAGAATCATCTACAATTTAAAAGAAAAACAAATATAATTATTAACTTACATTTAACCAATTTATTATTTTGTTAATTAAATATTATACCTGTTAAATATTG